AAAGACCACGAGACACCCAGATTGTCCCCAACAGTAGGATATCAAACATGACTGCCATTGTTCTGAACACTGTCAATGCGGAGTCGTTCATCAGATAAACGCGCCTGCCTCATCGGGGAATGCTATCATCTCACGAGGAGCATCCTTTTAAACATAAATGATTTTCTGATACAGGATACACTTACATTCAGCTATTAGGCCCATTCAAAATAAATACTCGTTTGGCCGTCCTTTCGACACCTTATTTTTATTTTGTATCGTTTTACACCACGACGACCTTGAAAATAGACGATCTGAGGCAAAATAATTTAATCCAGTATTTTCTGGTGTAAATTAATTAATCAAATTTCAAAATGACTCCACGTCCTTTAACCTATGTTTTAGTTGATTTGTTTGTTGGTTGGTTGTTTAACGCCGCACTCAGCAATATTCCAGCTATATGATGGCGGTCTGTAAATAATCGAGTCTGGACCAGACAATCCAGTGATTGACATCATGCGCATCGATCCACGCAATTGGGACCAAAGACATGCATCAACCAAGTCAGTGGGCCTGACTACCCAATCCCGTTAGTCGCCTTTTACGGCAAGCATGGGTTGCTACCCCGGATCTTCACGGGTCCCTATGTTTTAAATTATAATAAGAAGTGTCGATTCTGGAGTGAGACTACCTCAAAACAGTAGGTTCGTCGCCATTCTCCCATGACGGCAGGAACGCTGTAAAATGGCAGTCTTTTGGGACGCGTAATTACACACGGGTACAAAGGTCAGATATCTTTGAAGAATGTAAGAAATGTTTTTCAAATTCCAGCTTAACTACTTATAATCTTGACTGGTTCAAAATACTTCGCATTCTTCAAAGTCATGACAGATTTCCCAATTAAGCAAACCTAAGGATAACATAAACTACGTAATGTTTTGTCATTGTTTTCATGTAATACTATTGTGAAATAGTGAGTGAGTGAGTGAGGTTTTACGCCGCTATTAGCAATATTCCAGCGATATCACAGCGGGGGGCACCAGAAATGGGCTTCATACATTGTACCCATGTCGGGAATCGAACCCAGGTCTTCGGCGTGACGAGCGAACGCTTTAACCACTAGGCTATCCGACCGACGCTATTGTGAAATAGGGCTTGAGGGATCAGGAAACTATGAAATCTTCTGTTTATATCTGCCCACTGTTATTAATACAATAATGAGGAACAAAATTTCTTAATTTTTGGCCTTATCGTCAACAGGAATTAAACACTGTGGTCTGAACGCCGTGGTCTTCCTTCCTTGTCATGCCAACACAATCAACATGTGTCTGTCTAAGTGAGTGAGTGAGTTAGTTATGTTAAACGCCGCTTTAAACAGTATTCCAGTTATATCACGGCGTGACAGCTTAATGTGGGAGGAAAGCCCGAAGTGATGCAGGTCTCAGACGTTCACCACTTCTGTGAAACCCACGAGCACGGATATGGTGCTGACAAACCTAGGAATATAATTGGGGCGAACCGGAATTCGAACCCACAATTATCTGGCGTGCCCAAGGGACGTTACTCTTGAAGTTGAATATCATGTCCTTGTTAAGAAGATGTAACACATGCACTTTTAAATAGTGTATGTCATTAACCCTACCTTTACAAATCTGACTGATTTAAGCAAACTTGTATTCATTTAAAAGTCAGAAAATGTACATGTCTTATTTGCTAGCCCACTCTATTATTTAAATGATAAACATTTCATTAAATGTTTTGTATATATATTTATGTTTTATGTATATACATGTTTTACGTGTTTTACAGTCTTATTGAGTCTCGTAAGCCTCATGGCTGGACGTCACTCTTAAATTACATGTTCAATTTTCTTTATATACACAGCCCTCTCTCTCTCTCTCTCTCTCTCTCTCTCTCTCTCTCTCTCTCTCTCTCTCTCTCTCTCTGTTTTACAGTCTTATTGAGTCTCGTAAGCCTCATAGCTGGACGTCACTCTTAAATTACATGTTCAATTTTCTTTATATACACAGCCCTCTCTCTCTCTCTCTCTCTCTCTCTCTCTCTCTCTCTCTCTCTCTCTCTCTGTTTTACAGTCTTATTGAGTCTCGTAAGCCTCATGGCTGGACGTCACTCTTAAATTACATGTTCAATTTTTGTATATACATAGCTCTCTCTCTCTCTCTCTCTCTCTCTCTCTCTCTCTCTCTCTCTCTTCATTTGTCAATCAGAGGTGTCAAGTCACAAAAGACACCGCTCTGTTTGAAAAAGCCGATTTGACGGCCGAATCGCCGCAGAAACTAATATTTTTGTAATAGTACTTCTTTTACAGCCTTTGTCAGTGAGCGTATTTAAATAATTATATGCAAAATGATAGGCTACAAAATGCAAAGTTGCGTTTACTACGATATTCAAAGAATGCGTCGCAATATTTTCATTCAGAAAACAGGACAGAAATCTGCAAAGAGAATGTATTTCAAGCTTTTAGGAGAACAGAGAACTTGCTATTTTTGACGCTTTTCTTTGTACGGTGACGTCATGTCTTTTGCGTCACAATGAGCGATATGACGTCATAATAGAGACACGCGGCGAAGAGGGGCCTGAAGTTAGCAGCCGGTTCGTAATTCGTCATTCGTTTTTCGACTAACGGAATACAAGCCTGGGCCCCGTTCCACAAAGCGATCGTAGCGCTAAGATGATCGTAACCCCCATTCTTTAGCATAGGCTTACGACAGACTTAGCGCTAAGGTCGCTTTGTGGAACGGGGCCCAGAACCGGATTCGTTATTCAGACTTGGTATGAGAAATATAAGAGACTGTTTTTACACTGGGTTCGTTATTCGTTATTCGTTATTCGTTTTTCGTTTTTCGAGTAACGAAATACAAGCCAGCACCGGATTCGTTTTTCAAAGGCTGTATATTAAACAATTTCACTAGTACGGTCAAATACACTGAAACTCATTTAATATTTGACAGCAGGCTACATCGTCTTACCTCGTCCAAAAGTTGTTTGGTTATTCAGCGCTTTTGAATTACGATAAACAAACCAGAACCGGGTTCCGTGCAAACAGAAGATTCTCAACTTCATTTCTAGTTTGTTTTCTGAAACTTCCTAAAAAACGTAGACAAGTTTGTTTTGTGAATAAGACAAGAGAAGCCTTTCCTGCAGAATCAGACAAAGACAAGGGTTTTAAGTATGCAAGACGATGACACGAGTATTTTAAGAATTCTACACTCATTCTCGTTAGATACCATTTTTACGAAACTAGTGGACTGTCTATGGTATCTGACCGAGCGAATAGTGTGTGGTATTTCATTTATTACCCACGTTAGTTATATATGTAAGTGTAAATACATAACAACTTTTCTTCGTTGACAGACCAAACTGAAACAGGTGTCAAAATGTGGTTGCACATGAATATTGATATATGCCCAAATATGGGCATTGTTGACATTTCTATGCATACGCATTAACAACATGCGCCTGTAAATAAGAACAGAGTTCCATTTGTTCGATCACTTTACTTGAGAAAATCAGCGTGAAATGACAATAACAAACAAGTATCAAACAGGTTGAAACACGGGCGTGTTAATAATCACATCTGGTTCCGGTTCCGACTGCGCATGTGCACTGGTACAAGGGACAGTCCACTACACAGGGCCGCTGCATAGTACAACGTTCTCTAGCTTGCGGTTGTGTTTGCAAACATAACAGCACCGACGTTCAAGATCCTTTTGGAAGAATTTCTTCAACTTATGAGAATTCAAGCGCCATGTTGTTAGTACGCAGGACACCTAAAAGAAAATTTGAAATGTCACATTAGCGGAATATCGGACCAACAGTCGGTCACTCGCACTGCCGGGGTCCCGTCTGTGCATTCAAAATGGTTCGGTTTCCTTGATCTATCAGCTGAATTTATATCATGTCCGTACTATTTTGGAAGAGGGAAATCAAAGTTTTCGCCATAGACATTCATGTTTACTGTACCACCCTGTACTGAAGACGTGAAAATCAACAAACTCAAGTCTGCTTGCATGTCAGTGACAGCCTCGAACGAAGGGCAAGGTCACCACCGGAATAAAAAAAGACAACCGTCATCTACTCACAGCGTTTTACGCTAGAGATAAGGGATGTTATTGTTCACCTTTTGGATATTGGGCCGCATAATCAGAAATCAGGCACACTTCTACGGAGTTTTCGAATGATTTGTATCGGAAATGTTCACTTTGAGTGATCTGGTCGTGCAGTCGTAAACAAACAACTCCCGAAACAGTGCCACAAAATACGCTTCGAAGAGGACACTGATGGCACAACCGGATCATCCCAAGTAAGTCTAGATATCTGTTAAGATAGTTTAAAGTGACTTAATTTCAACACGCTTATCCTTTTACATTGATCAAATTGGAAGTTGCGAAAGTGGTCGGGTGCGTCACGCTCATTGGGACCCTCGATCTATTGAACGGTAGTCATACATTGTAAATGGATATAGCTCGATTATATAATGTCTGTAGAGGCTCAATGCATAACTTATATAAGATGCTAAACGACTATCTTGTTTGGTTTAATAAAGTGTTTTTAAATATCTCTCGCTCTGATGAGATTGAGGTTTGTCAACACCATACCCGTGCTCGTGGGTTTCACCGAAGTGGTAAACCTGCATCACTTCGGGCTTTCCTCCCACATTAAGCTGACACACCGTGATATAACTGGAATACTGTTAAAAGCGGCGTTAAACCTAACTCGCTCACTCATTCACTCAAAAAGATCATCTTAATACCCATCCAGTTGGGGAGCATTCAAACAATGCTCATCAGGTATGGGGTGATCATCAAGAATGTTCTCATTCAACAGTAGCTGGAACACTGAGTATTGAGATGATTAGACAGATGGCTTGACAAAGACCAAGAATCTGATTCTGCCTGTGTGATCGAAAATGGGACATATTCATCTACTGGTTCAGCTGAACCGGCTACAGAAGCATGACTATTTTTCAGAGCGGGGTTAATAAAGTTTATTGATATAAACGTTTGAAAATCGACTTTTTTTTTGTGAGGGTTCCGCACCCGGCCCTGAAAACGTGCCAGGCGGATGGTAACTATCAACCACATCGCACTCGTCACTATCAGTCGAACTGTCACTCGT